GTGTCCCCATCACAGGGGCGGGCCTGAGGACAGGAAGTGTCCCCACCACAGGGGCGGGCCTGAGCACAGGAAGTGTCCCCACCACAGGGGCGGGCCTGAGGACAGGAAGTGTCCCCACCACAGGGGCGGGCCTGAGGACAGGAAGTGTCCCCACCACAGGGGCGGGCCTGAGCCCAGCGCCTCTCACCCCAGGTGTGATGCTGGCTACATTGGGAAGAACTGCGAGTGTCAGACACAGGGCAAGAGCAGCCAGGAGCTGGAGGGAAGCTGCCGGAAGGACAACAGCTCCCTGGTGTGCTCGGGGATGGGGGACTGCGTCTGCGGGCAGTGTATGTGCCACGCCAGCGACGAACCCAACAAGGAGATCTTCGGGCGGTATTGCGAGTGTGACAACGTCAACTGTGAGCGGCACCAAGGCCAGCCCTGCGGCGGCCCGAGTGAGTGGCGGCCCGGCCTGGGCTCCTTGTCCCCGGGCGCTGAATCGGATTTGGGACATAGACAGATGGGAAGATGCTTGTGTGTTTCACAGGGCCTCTCAGCAGGCCTGGCCGGCAGGTTTCTAGAAGACCAAGCAGTGTGCTGAGAGAGAGGATTCTGTTCACTGGTGGGCTATGGAGGCCCACACTGGCTGAGCGACCACTGTGGTGCTGTGTGGCCATGTGGCCTGCCCAGGGTCTGGTGCCTTTGCCCAAGCTCAGTTGTCCTTTCTGGGGTTGTGGAGCCCAGGGAGGGCAGGCAGAGGGTGGAGGAGGGGCAGAGGGCAGGGAAGGGCGGGTGGAAGCTGGACATTCCGACCTCCTCAGGAGGCTGTGTCTGGGAGGGAGCAGCCTGGGGGGTGATGTGGGCTTCCTGGCTGCCCGGTGAATCCCCGGACCTCACTGTCTCCAGAGAGGGGTGAGTGTTTCTGCGGCCAGTGCCAATGCAAGCCGGGATTCGAGGGCTCTGCCTGCCAGTGTTCGAGGTCCACCGCAGGCTGCCTGAACCCACGCCGGGTGGAATGCAGCGGCCGCGGCAGGTGCCAGTGCAACACGTGCAAGTGTGACCCTGGCTACCAGCCGCCCCTGTGCGAGGACTGCCCGGGCTGCCCAGCGCCCTGCAGCAACTACACGTGAGTGTGCCCGCCGCCCAGGCCCGCCTGGCTCCGGGAACGCTGGGGACGCCCGGGAGCACCCGCTTCGCAGCAGTCCCAGGCAGGTCCAGCTGGCCGGGCCGTGCGCCCCGCCTCCCTCTGAGCCCTTCAGCTCCCCAGCATGCACTCCCCACACCCCTCCACTGGAGAGCCAGCACCCAGACCACACCCCGGGTGTGCACACCACGCACCCTGGCACACCCATCCACACGCGTCCCGTCTGAAGCACCCTCACACCTGCTCACCCCTGTCCTCCGCAGCTCCTGCGTGGAGTGCCTGAAATTCGCCAAGGGCCCCTACGAGAAGAACTGCAGCGCTGCGTGTGTGAACGTGAGGCTGCAGAACGCCACCAGGAAGGGCAGGTCCTGCAAGGAGCGGGACTCGGACAACTGCTGGATCTCCTACACCATGCAGCAGCGGGACGGGAGGGACAGCTACGACATCTACGTGGAGGACAGCCGAGGTGAGGCTGGCCAGGGGGACAGGACGGGAGGGACAGCTACGACGTCCACGTGGAGGACAGCCGAGGTGAGGCTGGGCAGGGGGACAGGACGGGAGGGACAGCGACGACGTCCACGTGGAGGACAGCCGAGGTGAGGCTGGCCAGGGGGACAGGACAGGAGGGACAGCTATGATGTCCATGTGGAGGGCAGCTGAGGTGAGGCTGGCCAGGGGGACAGGACGGGAGGGACAGCTACGACGTCCACGTGGAGGACAGCCGAGGTGAGGCTGGGCAGGGGGACAGGACGGGAGGGACAGCTATGATACGACGTCCACGTGGAGGACAGCCGAGGTGAGGCTGGGCAGGGGGACAGGACGGGAGGGACAGCTATGATGTCCACGTGGAGGACAGCCGAGGTGAGGCTGGGCAGGGGGACAGGACGGGAGGGACAGCTATGACGTCCACGTGGAGGGCAGCCGAGGTGAGGCTAGGCAGAGCCATAGTGTGGGCAGGTGGACTATGGTGACAAGAACTCCAACCACAGCTGGGGAGGGGCTGCAGGGTTGGCGTGTCTGTGGGGCGGGGCAGACTGGCTGCTGAACACCTGCCCTGCCCTCCTGGCTTTCTCTCCCGCTCCCCCAACCTTACCTGGGGCTGCAGAGGGCGGTGAGCAGGGTCCTCGGCAGGCACGCCGCCTGCACTGAGCATGGAACCACACCACTGAGTGGGGCATCCCCCCATCCTGGCTGGGGACTGTGATGCTGGCAGATGCCCCACATGGGCACAGGCGCTGACAGCCCCAAGCTGCTGTCCCTTCACGGGGCTCTGGTCCCTGCCTGTGGTCCTGGGGCCTCCAACCTGGGCTTCCTGGGCGCCAGATGCCAGCGTCCAATCACATGGGTCTGTGGCCAGGCTCCCAGGATGTGAAGACCAGAGGGGATGGGCCCCTGAGGCCAAGCCTTCCAAGGGGAGGGCGGTGCTTGCTCAGGGCAGCCTGCACCAGCCCTGGGGGGGTGGGTCTGTCCCTGCCCGTGCCAGGAAGCTATTAATGAGCTTCCAGAAGAAAAGGGATGTACACATGTGTGTTTATAAAAGCCCAGCTGGCAGCAAGTGGACACCATCCTGTGAGGGCTCGAGGTGGTCAGTGTCCTACCGTCATGTGAGAGGCCGGGTGGACGTGGTTCTGACAGGAGCAGGATGGACATGGTCCTCCTGGGGGTGGACTGAGCACTGTCCAGTCAGAGGCCAGGAGGCTTTGTACTTTCTGGGGAGCTGAGCACTTCTGCAGTCAGAAGGTGGTTGGACGCTCTCCTGTCCGAGGGTGGGTAAACAGCCCAGTGGCTGGTGTGTGGACCAGCCTGTCAGAGGCCAGGTGTCACCTTCCTGTTGATGACCTGTGGGCCGGGTGGCATGGACAGAGCCTGCCTGGGTGTAGCATGGCGGGATTGCACCAGGAGGGATGGTGATGGTTCGAGGGCCCAGGTCCCCAGAGATGGAAGCAGAGGCTTGGGATGAGGGTATTCAGGAGGTGGGTTGTGTGCCATGACCATGGATGCGGGACAGAATGACTGGTGAGGGACGGGCCTTCCAGGGTGTTAGGCAGCTCCCAGGGTCCGGACACCTTGCCCCGTCTCAGCTCGGATTGCTGGGGATGTGGGTGGTGAGACTGCTCAGGTGGTCTCAGGAAACCCGGGCCAGCAGCACTCCAGAACTAGCACCACCCTGTGCCCACCCCTCCTCAAGAGGACACCAAGGAGTGCCAGGCGGGCCTCAGACTCTCTGTGCAATGTTCCTGGGGCTCATGACCTGCTCTGGGTCCTGGGGCCACAGGCTCCAGACTGTCTAGGTCATTCTGATGTACAGATTTGGGCTTGCAGCTGGTTTAGTACAAGACTGGCTGTTACCTAACCCCTACGAGGTCCAGGGCTTCCCTGCGGAGGCCAAGATGACTGGAGAGGGACCCAGAAAATGCTGGAGTGGGCCGCAGAGGAGCTCCAGTGACCGGGCGCATCTCTGTCCAGGCCAGGGCCTGCGGTGTGGCTCTGCGGCCCGGACCCTGCACTCTGGGGGAGGCCGGGCACAGCGCGTGCACCCTGCCTGTGTGCTGCCTGAGCACAGGCCTCTGGCTCCTGCTGGCTGTTCCTGTTGGACCCACACAAGTCCAAGTAGAGGAGTGCCACACACAAGTCCTTTATTGAAGCCGGTGGTTGTGAGCAGGCTCTATTGGCACACACCTTTCCACCACCGAGGGGAGTTGAGTGAGGGTTTAAAGGCAGAGAGGCTTGCTTGGCACGAGCCAATTGGTGGTTACTGACCAACTCAGAAGACAGCTGGGGCAACAAAGGGCTGGCCTGGCCTGGGAGGGACTGTGTTTTTCTTTCCTCCAGATGGCCTTTGTTATGGAACTCTGCATGTCCCTGTGCTACACAACTGGGGTTGGGGGGAGGTTAGGTATCTCATTATCAGGATCACCTTCCCGAGTGCCTGGCATGAGCAGAGACCACACCGGTCCCCTTCCTGCTCCACTATGGTGACGGGGAGCCCCTCAAGCATGTCCCCACAAAGTATCAGTCACCATCGGCAGGCTTAGGGACAGACTGTCCCAGAGCTGGTGCTGGCATGTTGTGAGGGTCTGCTTGGGATGGCCTGCGTCCCGGCCTCCTCCGAACAAGGGGCCATGCTAGTGTCATCTGGAGCCACAGGTCTGGCCCGTGTTCTCTCCTCCACCGTCAGTGTGGTGGGTGGTGAGCCACGCAGCGGCCCTGGCCGTAGGAAGGAGGCACGGTTAGTGTCTGCCGCCTTTGAGGCAATTGACCCCTGGGACACGTTCTTCCTACTCAGAGTGCGTGGAGGGCCCCCAAATCGGCGCCATTGTAGGGGGCACTGTGGCAGGCATCGTGTTGATCGGTGTCCTCCTGCTGGTCATCTGGAAGGCCCTGACCCACCTGAGTGACCTTCGGGAGTATAGACGCTTCGAGAAGGAGAAGCTCAAGTCTCAGTGGAACAATGTACGTGCTGTCCTGGGCTCCTCCATGGAGGGAAGGCATCCCTGTCCCCTGCAGCCCCCTGGTAGGGCCTGGCCGTGGCTGTGGGAGACGCACACACCACACCAGCTGCTATCTGAGTTTGCCCTGCCCCACAAGCTTTGTCCCTGAGGCCTGAGCCCTGGAAAGGACTTGCCCTTGGTGTCAGCGGTTGGCTCTGGAGACCCCCTGCCCTGACCACCATGTTCGCTCTCTCCCCAGGATAATCCCCTTTTCAAGAGCGCCACCACGACAGTCATGAACCCTAAGTTTGCTGAGGGCTAGAGCACAGTGAAGATGAGGCTACGGGGCCAGCTTTCCAGGACCCTCAAGCCCCGCCTCCTCCATCCTGTCACCCCCCAAGCTCCGCCTCCTCCATCCTGTGACCCCCCAAGCCCCGCCTCCTCCATCCTGTGACCCCAATCCCTGCCACCTCCATCCTGTGACCCCCCCAAGCCCCGCCTCCTCCATCCTGTGACCCCCCAAGCCCCGCCTCCTCCATCCTGTGACCCCCCCAA